GAGAGAGAGAGAGAGAGAGAGAGAGAGAGAGAGAGAGAGAGAGAGAGAGAGAAACAGAGTGGAGTAAAAATCGATGGAAATGGATAGATCGAGAGTGAATAATAGCATCAGCGCAAATAATCAGCAACAACAACAGCGTCAACTACTGAAACCAATGCCACAATCAAAGAAGAATATGAAATCAAACAATTGCTATAGCATTAATTTTATTCGATATATACTTCAGACATTCAACGTCATACTTTTTGTGAGTATAATGATATCATATATATATAAAACTGGCTTGCCTTGGGCTTGAGAAAGCATTCCGTGCGAGTGAAAGCTATATAGTCAATTTTCCGTGTCAGAATATGCACACCACACCTTTGACATACCTTCATTCCTTCACAATTTTTCTTTTGTTTACAATTCCTTTGCGAAAACATCCCTTGACCCATAACAAATTGTTTGAATCAACCATGCATTAAAATGGTGTAGCATGTAATCCATGAAGTTTATCATGTTGGAATGATAATTTCGATTATAGTAAAAAAAAAAACAATTCGAACGACATTAATTACTTCCGAACATTTCTCCATTACACGAATAATAAAGGAAAACCGATATAAATTACTTTTCGAAATGAAAATAAACTATGCATGTATCCCATTTGGTAAAAAGTGTTTGTCACACATGTAATCTGATATCGTGTGATTTATCACCAATATCCCCTCATTTTCAAATATGTTGGCATTTTTATTGCAATTCATTTCAATGAATTGTTCTCTTAAAACTATTTGTTTTGAACATTTTCAGATGTCCGGCTGTATAATAACAGCTGTTGCAGTTTGGTCAATATTCTGGAAACATCATTTTGCTTCACTTTTGGTGACGCCAACGTACGCTTTAACCTCATATGGGCTATTAATAGCTGGCATTTTAGCGACGTTGACGGCTTTTTTTGGTTGTTATGTCGTTTGGCGAGATCAACGCTCATTGATATGCTGCGTAAGTTTTTTCGTAATTAATTTCCATTTATTCATTCATACCTATAATGGAATCAAATTTGGTCAAAACCAATTTGTGTGTACATTTGAATTTAACGAAATTTTCTTCGTGATTAACCATTTAACAATGGAATTGTGTAAAATGGGTTAAATACTGTCATAAACTCTTTTCTTTTCTGCTTTTACAGTATTCGTTGCTGTTGATTGCGGTGTTTTTGCTTGAGTTTTCGGTCGGAGCTGTAACTTATGTATATGAGAGTCAAGTTGATGATGAACTGATGGGCTCGTTGAATAAGACATTTATGACAAATTACGGTATCGATGAAACCCGAACCAATGCCATTGACCTAATGCAACAAAGTGTATGATTTTTTTCTGTTTTCCGATTTTTCTAGCATTTTGAATACCAATTTATATTAAATTTTCAGTATAGATGCTGTGGTGCCGAAAAATTTGAAGAATGGCGTAATAGTACATGGTTAACCACAGAAGATTCATATCATTTGATACGTTCGAATGTGAATCGTTTGGTTCCCGATTCGTGTTGCATTTCATATAGTGAACATTGTGGAAAGAGTGACCATCCAAGCAATATTCCGTACACAGGCTGCATCTACAAATTCATCGATGAAATAAGAGATCATCTCAATATTTTAGGAGCAATTGCTTTTGGCTTTTGTTTCATTAAAATTTTCGGATTATTTTTGTCATGTTGTCTGTATTTTAAATGAAAAGTTACCAAAAAAAAAACAAACAAACAATCCTTTTGTCATAAGAAACCATTCTTCCATTTTACGAAAATCAAATCATTCAAAGAAATTCATTTATTTTGTGCGAAATGAGATCATTTGTACATTTATCGTGCAAATATAATTTATTAACCATAGTCATTATATTTACTTAAAAACGCCATATTTTATAAAACAAACGAAATATACAATAAACTTTTATTTTGAATTTTTGTTTTTTTCATAATTTTGGTATGAAAATGAGATTCAGAAGTTCACGGTTAAGATTTAGTTACATGAGAAGAAATCACATTGTCACATGGGATGTATGCATGTCTGCTTTGATCGCGAAATTGTAAAAAACAATTAATTATTGGGTGTATAAATTAATTTTGAGGGATTTTTGTGTGAAAAGAAAAATTTATTTAAAATAACAAGAATGAATACTTTAATCAATGTATTGCCCATCGTTTGCTATGACTTCCGCCCATCTTCTTGGTAGCTTGTCGATTCCGCGTCGAAAGAATTCCTCATCTTTTGAGGCTATCCATTCATTGATCCATTTTCTCACTCCTTCAGGATTTCGAAACGATATCTCGGACAAGCCCATTTGGATCGATCGAAACAAGTGGTAGTCAGAAGGAGCAAGATCTGGAGAGTACGCGGGTTGATCAAGCCGATCCCAACCGAAGTCTTGTACTTTTTTTTTAACGATGTCTGCTCCATTTTGATTAATTGCATGCGGTAGCGTTGGGCTGTAACCGTTTCACCTGGTTTTAGCCAGTGACCGGTTCGCGCATATTTCTATGCCTGATAGCTATGCTAAGCATAGCGGAGACGCAAGCCGCAACGCACCCGTCGCCATTCGATTCGAGCTATATTGTATGCGCACGGTCGTCTGCATAAATGAACATGTGCATTGTTCATATAGAGTGAACGGCGATGCGTCGGTTGCGTTTGCGGCTATGCTTGGCATATCTATGCTACCTAGCGTATTTAGGCAAGCATAGAAATATGCGCGAACCGGTCACTGGTTTTAGCAGCTCATAATACACGACACCTTTTTGATCCCACCAAATGCACAGCATAACCTTCTGGCAATGAATGTCTCGTTTTGACTGCGATGGTCCTGGTTGGCCTGGATCAACATACGCTCCTTTACGTTTGGGGTTGACGTAATAATTGAATTTTCGTTCTTTTTCTGTGGTCATGTCCATGATATACGGTTGCACGCACTCTAGGGGACGGAAACCATTAGCTAGTTTTTTATATTTCAAGTAAAAACTAGGAAAGTAGTGTAAAAAAGCGGGTTTTGTCCAAACCGGTTTTGGCCACGCCCGCAAAACAAGTTTTGATCAAGATCAACGTCTCTGCTTAGTGTATATTTCTTATGGACAACGGTTGAGTGTGGACGGCAGCGACGGCATTATATGAATATTCTCTCTCTCTCTCTCTCTCTCTCTCTCTCTCTACGCGTTTCTGTTATCATATTTTCATATGTTTGTTTCGAACATGTAAATTAAATATGGCAACGAACATGCTAGCCATGTATTTTGTTGTTGGAATCGTTTTGAGTGTGCCAATGTATTTTCATATGATGCTCATGCATTCAAAGTAAAAAAAACTACTAAGCTTTCAAAATGTAAACAAAAAATCTTAAAACGCACGCGAGTGTTTTTCACGAAATTTGTCTACCAAATGCATAAAAGTAATGATGTAAAAATTAAGATTGTTTCTTTCGCTATTTTTTTCGGGAATTTCTCTTGTTTTCGAACAGTGTTCACCTGAAAGTAAGACTAAATAACTCTCTCTCTCAAAATCAACGTCTCTGCTTGCTGTTTATTTCTTATGAATAACGGTTGAGTGAAGACGGCAGTGACGGCATAAACATGAATATTCTCTCTCTCTCTCTCCTCTATTCTTGATCGAAATAAAAAAATGTAAATGTATTTAAGTTTTTCGATTCTCGAAATGAAATCAACAAAATAATACACATTAATGCATTTTTCTATTCAAACCAGTTTTTCTATTTTCTGTTCTTTGTGTCCGGTTCCAAATTTTTTATCTTCTTGGGCATGTCAAGAATGTGAATTTTATTTTCTGTCTTTGTCCATAAATGGTAAGACAATGTTGTAGACATTTGGTTGTGTGTGAATTTGTCATCTATCAGCAGCTAGTCGTACACTGAATATTCGTGTATTTACGTGAATAAGTTTGAGAAGTGATCAAGTGGTGAAGTGAATCGATCAAAATGTAATTAGTTATTTGCCATTCCATCGCTTTAATTAGTAAATTTGCCGTTATTTTTTTTAATCTATTACTCAATTTTAGGCGATTATTGCTATTGGCAGTGATATGTTATTCGCTCTTGCCATCATTTCATACATACTTTCACAGTTTCACAGATAGATATGTGACTATTTCGCCTTGTACGATACAAGCAGATGATTTACAATATGCAAATGTATCTTGCGCTCAAAGACCTTGGCTAAGAAGTTGTGCTTCAATTACTGAATTGCAAATCATAGGCAAAAATAGTACAGTGCCCAGACGTTTTGTAGAAAAAACACCGAATGTGGAATTTCTCAGAATTCGAAATAATAGTTTAACATCAATCGATGGAATGTCAATATGTCAATGGAAACAATTACGATGGATTGACGCTGATTTCAATAGATTGGAAAAATTGAAAAATGGTTTTCTGTTCTTCTGTAAACAGCTGAATCAACTGTTGCTTCACAATAACATGATCAAGGGAATAGCATCCGACGCATTCATCGGCTTAAAATCGTTGAGATATTTGGATCTATCATCAAATCAAATAACTTATTTAGATAAAAATGTTTTTAAACCGTTAAAAAAATTAGAAAATTTGGATTTGAATACGAATCGAATCCAGATAATAGATTTAGACTTATTTCGATATAACATGTTAATTGGTGTTTTGGATTTAAGCAATAATGATTTAAAAACTAATTTATCTGAAATACTTCGAAGGTTGGACTATTTAGAGGTTTTTTCTGCTGAAAATAATCCAAAGTTAGGCAATATCGATATAAGACATCTGGATTCGTTGAAGGCATTGAACGTAGGCAATGTGTCTCTGACTAGTCTTTTTATTCCATCAAATGTGGAAGAGGTGCTTGTAATGAATAATCAAATATCTCAAATATTCCTTGAACCAGACAATACATTATCTTCTTTGGGTCTGAACGGTAACTGCATGACTAGTCTACTACTTGAAGGATTCTTTAATAATTTGGAATCTTTATCTTTGCGTAACAATCCCATACAATTACAGTCAATAAATGACTTAAGTGTTGTTAAAATAAAAAAAAATATCCATCGATTGCATTTTTATCCATATCAACTATAGACGATAGAATAGCTGAGCAAATGATATTGGAAGCGGAAGAAAACCAAATTGATCTCGCAATAGGCGGTTTTTTATTGAATGACAAACATTCTCTAACATTTTTACGTTTTTCCCATTTTGACAGTATTAATTTTGCGAACTATAATCAAAAGGTTTATATAACATCTTCAGTAAGAAAATACTTCACAAACAAGGTGAAAAACCTTATCGTAGCACCAATCAGATACCCGTACGTAAAAAAAAATCGACTATCTAGTTAGCCGCTTATTTTTGGACGTTTTTGACTGTCTGATTGTGATTGTTTCATTGTGCAATATGCATATAATATAGTCGATCACAGTTTTAAATGTCCCAAAATAAGCAGCTAACTAGATAGCTATAGTCGATTATAATAGACTATTTTCAACAATTAGTCAGTTACTTTTTTGGTATACGGGTAGGTTTGCAACTAAATATACAAAATAATGTAATTGTAATAAATAAAACATTGAAATTGAAAAAACATATTTTATTCCATTCTTTTATGAGTATTACATCGTCTTACGAAAAAAATGTTTAGCTGATTTAGGTATAGATGATGATGTTACAATCGAGTTGTCATTAGTTTTTCCAATGAAAAATCTGTTGTTATATTTTAGTCTTTTCGATTAAGAGTTCCTTATTTTTTCTATTATTTTCTATGGGATCTAGAATTGGCATCACACCTTTCCTCAATTTGAATTGACTTTCATGAATTATACGTTCCGCCAACATTATTTCGCGATAAAAATTGTATAATAAACGCCCAGCAAGTCCTATGTCATTCAAGCAGTTCCTAAATGCTTCATCACAAACGCAAAAACTTATTGTAAAAAATCCGTTGTTCACGTATCTTCTAACTTTCCCGGTACTTTCAATCACATGCATTTCGTGATACATGCCCGGTGCTATTGAAAAAAGACATAAATCATGATGCCTGCAGCAACTATCAAGATTATTGAAATATCCCAATTGGCTGGGAATAATGGGAGCCATATTTTTCGCAATGAGTTTAAGAGCAGAAGAGTTGACTACATAATGTTTAATACATATGTTAACATTATATAAATATCAGTGATTAGATTGCTCAGACATTTCTTTCCGAACATTTCACTGATGATATGCTTTGCCCACAAATGGCGTCTATTGATTTTTGGTAAAATTTGCACTAGATTTAACCGAAAAAAGCGTGGCTCTCACTGATAAGAATGTGTTTTGTTTTGATTGTATTCAATGGTGTATATAAAAGCTTCTTTAATTTTTAATCAGAGTATACGCGTGTTACGAACTTATAAATATAACTCGTAAATCATTGTCAAAGTAAAATATAGGTCAAAGAGTAAAGACTTTGCAATGCGTTCGTCCAAATTAATTTGTATTATTTTCATTTTTATGTAAGATTTTTCCATACAATAAATATTCTACTAAATATCAAAAAATAAAACTCATGAATTTGCATAGATCGTCGGGATCAGCCAGTCCTCCGAAAAGTGAATCAAACCGATATTTTCCACCAGATTTTTTATTTGGCGCAGCAACATCCGCATATCAAGTTGAAGGAGGATGGGATTCGGATGGTAAGGGGCCCAGTATTTGGGATGATTTCGTTCATTCGTACTCAGAGAATATTCTTGATCATCAAAATGCTGATGTCGGTGCTAATTCTTATGAATATTATTTGGACGACATTGAAGCATTGAAAAGTCTAAATGTAAGAAAATGACCGTATTTTTTTTTAATTTCAACAAGTATTCTACACTATTGTTTTCAACTATTTAGATGAATTTTTACCGATTTTCAATTTCGTGGTCTCGTATCTTACCTACTGGGGATATAACACAAATAAATGAAAAAGGAATCGAATACTACAATAAATTGATAAATGCGCTCATTGAAAATGAAATACAACCAATGGTGACAATGTTTCACTTTGACTTGCCACAAAAACTTCAATTATTCGGTGGTTTCACAAATTAAGTTATTGTGAGATATTTTGAAGAATATGCAAACTTATTATATAATCGGTTCGGCGATCGAGTCAAATATTGGATTACGATAAATGAGCCAAATATATTTTGTAAATATGGTTATGGTACAAATAAAAATGCACCAGGCATGAATGCCAGCGGAGTAGCCGATTATTTGTGTATTCATAATGCGCTAAAAGCACATGCTGTGGCTTATCATCTATATAAAGATAAATTCTATAATCAGTTCAAAGGCAGAATTGGAATCTGTTTGCTTTCGTATTTTTTTTATTCTGACTCAAATGACGCAATAGCAGTGGATGAGGCCATTCAATTCACGGTAAAAAAGTCTTTATTTAAAAAAATGTTGAAAATAATTCTTCATTCCATTCAGCTTGGATTTTCGGCCCATCCAATTTTTAGCACCAAAGGCGACTATCCACCGTTTGTGATTGAACGAATCTATAACGCTAGCAAGGAAGAGGGGCGTTTAAGATCACGCTTACCAACATTTTCAGAGTACTGGATAAAGAAAATTAAGGGATCGTCTGACTTTTTTGGATTAAATTATTACACAAGTCGATATGTTTCCAAATCTTCTCAGCCGATTGTCGATAATTATACAACAATCGATTCAATATTGCATAGCGATTTGAATCTTAGATTATCTGCTAAATCTGAGGGGATCAAAAGTGCATCTAATCGGTTATATTCGGTTCCGGAAGGTCTTGGTGATATTCTAAAGTACTTGATGCATGTACATTCTTTTCACACCTATCATTTACTGACGCATTTTCGAAATTTCAATAATTATTCTGATCGATGATCGAATTGAAGATGGATCAAAGCAGAATATAACAATCCCGAGGTAATAATGACTGAAAACGGTTGGCCGGATGATGGACAGCTAGAAGATGATGGCCGAATTGCTTATTTTCATGATCATTTAGAGAAAGTTTTAGATGCTATTCAGAATGACGATTGTAACGTCAAGGGGTACACAGGTTTAGTGTCTTTGCATACATTTTTATTAATCTGTGTATTTTTTCTTAACTTGTATGCATTTTACAGCTTGGTCACTTATTGATAATTTTGAATGGCATAGTGGATACACGTTAGTAATGTTTTGTTTTTAAAATGAATAAACAATTGCTACATATATGTAATGTTTAATTTCAGACGAAAATTCGGTCTGTTTTCCGTTAACATGTCATCGCCAAGAAAAGAGCGAATTCCCAAAAAGTCAACGCGATTCATGAAAACATTGATCGAAACACGAAAAATTCCCGAATTACACTAAATAATTGAGTCAAATCACCTTTTTCTTTCGATTTTAAACATCAATCAACCATGATAGATTATCAAGTTTTGTATGCCATTTAAAATTTAACATGATTTTGTCACTAACTTTAATTTTGGATATATTGTAACCTATCAATCGCTATCAATTTTGTTTTAATTACGTAAAATTCCATGATGATATTACATTTCCATTAAATTTGATTTGTTTCTTTTGTCGACTATTTCGAATTTCATGTCTATTTTGCTTATTCATTCAAATGAATAAGAAAAAAATGTATAAACATAAACAATACCACATTCGTTTTACTAATGCATAGAATGAAAGAAATAAATCGTTACCTTTCGAATCACCTTTTCATAAATATTTTTCTTCAAAATTTAATAAATAACAAAAAAAATAATCAACTCCTTTAAAATTTCCGTTTTATTCCAATCAAAATGAAATGTTCCATGAAAAATATACACACAAAATAAAAAAAAGTTCATTGTTAACAGTAAATGTTTGAGTGTGATAACCAAATGTTATCATAAAATTGTCGCTTATATCAAATGTTAGAATACTAAAAAAAAGAATCTCGATTAAATTTGTGTAGAAAACTATATAAACATGTAGTGTCATTTATTTTCGAAGCGCTTTGAATTCACCTTCATTCACCCATGATAGTCCAGATGGCGGCGGCGATGCTGATGTGGTGTCACATTTATTTTTTATTTTATCTAAAACAATTCGATGAATTTCGTCGTCAAACATGCTAAATGTTATATAGTGTTTATCTTCGGTTGGTGGATTGTCATAGATTTTATCTTTGCTTATGCGTACACATTCTTTCACCTTTTCTTCGAATTCGGTGAGATTTTGGCTTCGAATCAGTTCGGCAGCGTCTTGATTTGATATTTTTACAGTATTACTATTCAAACAGGCCACCGGATGCGTAAATATGAATTGAATGTATTTTAGCAATTGCCAAAGATGATGCTCCGTTGGATTCCATGTTGGAAATGCATCTGATATACCCAAAATTCCGGTGTATGGACAGATCAATGGATGTATCAATTCACTTTGAAATATGACCGTCTGTGAAGTAAAATCGTTAAATGTGAATCATAGACATATCGTTACTTTTTATACATGCACTGCATTCACTTACCGGAGCATCGGTTGTGTTTGGAAAATCTTTGGGCAGTGAAATATTAAATCGAAAAATGCCATCTTTGTAGTACCCACTCCGAGCAAAGATCACACCGAACCAAACTACCAAAAAATATAAACTAAAAATAAATACATTCACGTCTACATACCATATTTGATCAATATAAAATCAAATTTCGAAACATACCAAACGAACTTTCAAACGATGGAATCACATAAATTCCGCCGATATTTTCTTTTTGAATCATTTTTCTGCAATAGATAAATATTTTGGGATAAATTCCATATTCAAAATTACAATGAAAATTAAATGAGATTATGTGACGCACACACACACTCATAGTTAACTTACAATTCAGCAATCATTTTAAATTCCTGTTGAATTGTCGCTTGCAAATCCATTTCGATCGTCATTATTTTGGTCGCCTTTCAATCTTTCAAACAATAAAAAAAATGATTTATCACAACGTTAGAGTAACTTAGAGCAAAAAAGTGAGTAATTTGTGAGGAAAGTGATTGTAAACAGCGATGCATTTGTTTTTGTACTGTTGAAATGTCAAAATGTGACAGTTCTCGTTTGACGTAACGCGTTATACATTGTTTTGGTATATGTGTTGTCGTTATTTTCACATTGAGCGGAGAATATTTATTGAAAAAACTTTTTATTTCATTTTAAAATTGGGTTTTCTTTCGGAAATGTTTAGATATTTAAAATGTAATTCAAATAAATTGGCTTTTCAATTTTGTACTCAAAGAAATTACTGTAAATCGTTGTATATACAAGGGCAACGAGTTGATAATAAAATCAGAGAATATTTCTACTACATTGATCACGATGGAATGGTTGTATTATTGACCTTTTATCATTTATTTTCAAAATTTTGAAATTATTTTGTATCGTTTTCTCCATCGCTTACAGCTCTTTCTAGACGATGCACGGATAAAGAATTTCACCTCTTGCTTCAAAGAGAAACATTTCATTCGATTTTTCTTCAAGCGATTGCGATTCAACACAACAAACCGATACCAAAATGAATTTCCATATCTGTCACTATGCGGCACCGAACGCAATTATATTCGTTGCGATGATCTACCAATCGTTTTCACCGATGTTATATCAAACGATCAAGGTAAAACTCCTTTAAAATGTAAACCAAATTGAAATAAAAAATCCAAACCGGACGAATATTTTTGTAGTGAAACATTTAATGTTCAGTTTCTTAATTTAACGAGAAATGTATTCATGTAAAAATTTGTTTGTACATTTCAGAAAACTGTCTGGCATACAACCATGGTGGTAATGAATTAAAAATGCAATTTCAACCGGATAAAGTATATATGTCGCCTGAAAGTGGTCGCGTTTATCATCCAGCCGATGGACAGTATGGCTTTATCGGACTTATTCGCTCAAAAATGGCCATTGCATTTAGTAAACATTTTGAATTTGAACAAGGCGAACAGGCACCACCAACTCATTTTACGTGGAACAATACTCGATATATACTAGAAAACGATTGGTTGAAAGACATTAAATTACCAGAGGGTCGGAAATATTTGTAAATTTTTCATCAACTGATTAAGTTAAATGTTTGAATGTTCTTTAAAATAACGAAGTCAAAAGAGTAAGCATTGTGCAGCTGAAACCAAAAGTCAATAATTAAAACATTATAATTCATTTTTGCAATTCAATGTTCGTTTTTTTATTTAGATTTTTTTTACATTTCCATTTTGGAAATTTTTATGCTGGGATAATAGGGGTTAGAGGATTACATTATTTTTTTTCCTCTATACAACTGATATAAATAAAGAAAAATTATAAATCATAAAGTTTGTTCAGAATATTTGTTCATTGTCGTTCACTTTTACAATTGTTCGCATCGTTTTGGAACGGAGAATGTCAATGAATCATTGCTGGCATGCATGCTCATATTTACATTGCGACCTTGTTTAATTTGTGATTTGTAGTGTTTGGCAGCTGGATCGTTGCTTGGACGGCAGATAACTTCAACTTTTTGCTGAGTTTTACCGTCTGCTCTCGATCCGGTTGGGCACACTGGCAATGGACGTTTGCTGAAGCAAATGCGATCGTTTTCAGTATCTTCGACGAATTGGGTTTGATGTTTTGTCCCTAATTTAATGCTATTCGAGTTCGAATTTGAGTTTGACTTTGAATTTAAGTTGCGTCTTCCTTGTTCCGAGTTCGATGAGTCTTGATTATCGTTTGATGTTGATTGTTTATTGCTTTGAAGTGGATGCTGTCTTTGTGTCTTTTTCATATTCGGAATTGGGTCACTGTAAAGAGTCTCTTCGCTAGGATATTGCTTTTGTTTGATACGTTGTTGCAATTGTTTCACGGAATTATCGGCGTTTGAGTCATTTTCAACAATAGCCCATGATGCAGCGAACTCTTTATCATTGTTGATGATTTTATTTTGTGGTGATTTCAAATCGTTTGTCTTTTGGCCAGTGAATGCACCGCACATACCACGGTTGCCACGATACATACTCTTACTACGAATTTCAACGCTCTTTCCGTCGTATTTGACTTCCAAGTCACCCAATTTCGTTTCAACACGAAGACCGCGTGCCGGATTTTCTGAAACACTTTGTTGTTCTTTAGTAACGTATACGCGTGCCAAAACCTCCTTTGGATTTTCAGTTGATCGCACCGAACTTGATGATTTTGAGTTCATATCTTTTTCATTTCCATCGACAAAAAGACGTGGGGCTTTGTTCGATGTTGATGATGATGATTCATCGTTGTCTCTTGGGGCCAATCGTAAAGTGATGTCATTCTTGTTCTTTTGATGCAAAACAATTAAAACCTCTTTATTTTTTTGGTTGGCACGTTTCATGGAATTTTGATCGCGAATTGATTCTTGTTCGTTTGAATCTTCACGGTTTTGACGATTGTTCCAGTTTGACTCTTGTTGACGATTTGATCCTTTAGCCTCTCGAACCAAAATTGAAGCATAGTGACTATGCTTTTTGTCATCATTCTCGTTCTCATTGTCATTCTCATTTTCGCGCATTTGATGCACAGCCAAATACCATGTGTTTTTAGCTAAAGCACCAGTTTTGACAGTACGATTTTCAAAGGTGTTGGTCTCATCGCCAGAAATGACACATGTATCACGGTATTGAATGTATTCTCGTTTCATTTCTTCGAGTAAGTTTCCATTGGATGGTACAACGGCAACAGTTCGTGCCATTGGCACTGGAACTCCTTTCCATTCGGTTTTCATGTTTTCTGTTTTCAATGTTAAATCAGCCGATTTCATATCGGATGAAAGACGTACCTCAAGTCGAACTTTATCCTTTTGTCCATCAGCATACTCTTTGTTTTCATTCAAGTACATTGATGTGCTGTAACGTAGGTAGTTGTAGTAATTCTTTGCATCCAAACCGAATGATTTTTCCAACATTTTGGCAGCAGCATCATTGACGTCCAATTCAATATCCATGTGATCGACTGCGTTCGGTGATAATAACTTCTTTGGTGATTTTTGGCTATCTTCTTGTCGCTGTTCTTTTAATTCAGTGGATTGTTTCATTTCAACTTTTCCGCGAACAGTAGCCGATTCCTTATCCTTTGAAACGGTCATTGTGATTTTTATGTCAGCATATGGTTTGTTATTAGCTTGATTTGATTGTGATGGTTGGTCAGCATTTTGATATTTAGCATCAACTTGCAAGGAAATTGATTTTTCTGTTGATTCTGATTCTGATTCTGATTTTTGAGCGAAAACAAGAAGACGCGATTTTCCTTCGGTTTTACTTGATGCAGTTGATACCGTTGCAACGTATTCACGTTTCTTGGAACCAGTAAATTCGACCGAAATATCCAAAACACTAGCACCATTTGTTGCGCCCATATCTGAATGTGAAGACAATGAAAATTGTTAAAAAAACATATAAAATTAAAACAAAAAAAAATCGTTCAATTCCTACCTTCGGCAGCATTGCGCAACAGTTGTTCACGACGTTCTTGACTGTTTGGTTTGGTTGAGTCTGGTTTGGCTAAATTATTGTGTCCCTCGGCTGATTGTCCTCGAGATCTTGGATGTGATCTGTTTCTATCGATGTTGTTTTGGTTTTGGTTTTCATTTTTGGCATTTTGTTTGTCGTATTTAATGGTCAATCTGGCTGTTTTGCTTGTTGATTGTTTTCCATCCAACGATACGGTCAATGACGATTGTTCGGCTGATGTGTCTTCTTGTCCAAACATTAGAATTGATGTTAAGTCACGTTGACGCAATTGCTTGATGATGTTGGCAATTTGATTTGAGCCTTTCTCTTGTTTACCGCTAATCTTCCAGGCAAAGCCAGTTGCCTTTTCACCCAATTCAACGTTCCATGGAAGAACTGATTTGCTACGGATCTCTTTAGTGTGTGGCGATTCCGGCATTGGACGAAGTTTGAAAATATTGTCACGAACAGTGTATGGTGTTGTTTTCATTTGTAAGATTTTCATTTCCTTATCGGCTCTCAATGGTTTGACTTCGGTTTTAATTTCGCGATTGTCAACATCAATATCGCTTGAAATACGAAGTGGAACATTGACTTGAGTCATTTTATCGTAGGTGGCCGAATAGCGTTGACCAGTGCTTGGTTCAGTAAATGACATAGAGACTTCATTGTTAGTAGAGTAGGTTAATTCAATACTAGCTGAAGCATTAACTGACTTTGGGATTTGCATCTTGTTCTTTTTGTTGTTACCGGTACGTTCATTGTTGCGTTCATCGCTGTTGCTATTATTTTCGTCGTTTTCATTCATGTCTGGTGTGGTACGAACACGCACCTGACCCTTAACTTGAATGACAGTTGGTGATCTTTGAGTAAATGTGAATGGAACACCGGTCTCAAGTGGGAATGAAATCGTGGCGTCTTCTTTATTGTACAATTTGGTATATTTAACCTCATATCCATTACGAATTTCTTTGGCAATTTTCTTGAGTGTTTGTGGCAATTGGTCCAATGTCTTTCTATCAAAAGCAACGAAACGTTCTGAATTGGCAAAATTCAACATTAATTGTCCTTCAAGTTGTTTGGCTTTGTTCTTTTTCATATTCAACAAATTCATGATTTTTTCAGCTGACCACTTGGTTGTTGATTGCTCTTGGTTTGAATCATTATTTAAATAATCGTTTTCGTTTGATTCATCGCTGTCGCTGTCATTTTGTTTTGAAGTTTTCGATGATTTTTCAATATTGTCATTCCATGCATTGGCCAATTCTTTGATGCTTGATACAATGGCATGGAATTCATTATCACGATTGAATCCGCCAAGATTTCCAACTGTGCGAACATAAATTGCATTCGGAATGAAACTGTCTTCCTCAACCAAATAGGTAGCTTGTTGTTTATATGTTGCATCAATTTGACGATCGACAAATTCTGTTAAATAAGTGCGTGCATATTGCATTCCTTGTGTTTCTTGTTTCATCAAGCCTAAAGCCGCCTTTGCATTTTGAGCAAGTTCTGTGTTTTCCTGTAAACGTGCAGCCGATTCCAATGCTGACCGAACAGCGGCTCTGACATCGTTATTTTCTTCGTTGTTTGTTGTTTCGGCCATACGTAGCAAAATTGAACCAAGTGGATTTAAGCGCACCAATTTAAAAACGGCTAATGAACGAATTTCGCTTGTTTCACCTTTATCTTGGAAGATTTTATACAACATTGTTTGGCCATCTTTAACATTATTTTGGCAATATCTACCCATTGCAACAAGCACAGCAAATCGTTGGAAATTGCTTAATTTTTCTTTGCCCGTCAAATATGGTTCAAACACTTTTGGCAATTTTGAATCGCCCAAATTTCCCAATGCACGGATTGCGTACAATGTCTTTGGTACATCTTTTTTGTCAACTGCTTTTTTCAACATTTCAGCAAAGTACGGAATAACTTCTTCCGATACCAATTTACTGTTACGATCACCTAAACGTCCATAGCTTTCAACTGGATAATATTTCTTTGCCGATTCGCGATTTACTTGGGCTTGATGCAAGAAACGCGATAGTGCAATACCGGCGGTTGTGTTTACATTTGATTGTTCGCGAACAGCATCGTTCTTTACAAAGTCCTGCAAATGGAAAATAGAAAAAACAAAAAAAAAATATGAGAAAAAATATTTATCTCTTTTACTCTCTTCTCTCAAACATATAATTTAAGAACTTTTATAATTTATATGAAACTACTTACAAAGAAACGTCTTTGCATCTCTTCGGTTGGTTCACGAATAGTGGTTGGCAAAGTGATAATCACCTCGACGGCTTCTTCACCCTTTAATTTTCGTTCTTCGATCAATGTCATAAGTTGGTTTACAGCCGGTCCAGTTCCAGCCGTTGATAATGCATCAAGGTAAACTTTGCGACTTTTTTCCGATGATTTTTTGTCCATTTTTTCTAATGCACGTGTTGTTTCTTCGATTTGTTCAGCGTTCATGGTGCGAATAATTTTGGCCAAAATATTGAATTTTCGAAGAGTGTTCTTGGCTGGAATTTCCTCTGGATTTTCCAAATCTTCGCTAATTTCTTCGACTAGTTTTTCAACTTCAGTTTTTGCATTGAACTCTTTTCGGCTTTGAATTGATTTGCCGTTGTTGCCGACAAAGTAATTGAGCAATGGATTTTCTGGGGCATCTTTCAATGTTGGTCTTGGCTGATGATATTCCAGTTTTTTTTCATTTGATGATTCATCTTCACGTTCACCGGAAATATTTCTTGATGATTTACGGTTTTGGCGACTTTTTTGGCTTTTATTGTGGTTGCTTTTGTTTTTATTCTTTTTTATGTTGTTGTCGTTATCTTTCTCGATGTCATTTTGATTCTCCTCATCCTCATCATCTTCGTTTTCGTTGCGGGTGTTTTTTGAGATTTCGTTGTCGGTTGATCGGCGTTGACGGCTGTTTCGTGAGTGTTTTTTATTTTTTTTGGCTGTACGTTCTTCACGCTTCTCTGATGAATTTTCCTCATCACGTTCTTCTTCATCGTCTGAATCATCATTATCGTCATCGACGTCTGTTTCTTCCGACGAATCTTTTTTTGGCCGAAGCGAGTTTTTCTTATCGGATGGCAAATCGTAGGAGTAAACGAGATTGCCAACATCGACAAGTTGTTCCGATTGCACTAGTGGTTTCTCCTCATTTTGTTCCATTGATTCCAATGTGACATTCACTTGACTCACAATCAATGAATCTTGTTGAGTTTCTTTACCTATTTGCAACGAAACCCCAATTAATGGCACGGCATTTCAAAAAGTTTCCATTGAAATAAAATCAAATATAAATATACAAACCTGGATTAGACTTGACAACACGGTTTGTGGTCACCGATGAGCGAATGGTGTATTTGTTGAGATTTCCCGAGATAACAATGCGACTAATGGCTGATTTTGCGAGACTTCCCATGCGATTGGTGTTTGGTTTCCATTCATTCAATCCATCAAGACCAAAGTGATAGCCCATACGTTGTTCACAATTGCTGTAGTTTTTCGTTTTGAAAATTTCATAGACATTTTCATCGTTTTGCAATGTTACACTTGATGTGGCTTCGGGCAATGATTGTGCCATATACATTGGAATGCGTGAAATATCATAGTATGATTCGCATTTACCTGTTTTCAAAAAGAAACCACAATTAATTTTGTTTTTGAAATTAAACTTTTTTCAAACAAAAAACACTTACCAGTTACAGTTGGTTCCATGACTTGGTAAAGTGCTTGATTCTGTTTATTTTCATCGTTGTCATCTTTACTGTCGGGTAAATGGCTGTACACACTTTCAATATTATTTCTAGCTCGAATATCGACTTGCAATTGACTCAAAATACTTTTCAGTTGATTCAATTGAACATTGGTCATGTCTTTATCAACGGCAATGCTATGAATGGCACCTTCATCCATACGAATTTCAAATGGTTTTGTATTCATTTCCATTTGTTCATATTGAAGTTCATCGTCTGGCATATATTTGGCCGGATCCATTGGTAATGCATCATGAAAATCGCTGCGCTTTCCATTTTTCACTTCACCAACTAAAACGTCCTTTGATAACTGACGAATGGTTAAATCGGCTTTGGTGAATGAACCAACCCATTGATTCTTCAAATTCGGTAGAGCGGCCAAGGTTTTGGTGTGCACCTTATAACGATATTCGGTATTTTGTCGCCATGCTCCATTCCATTGTTGCTCGGCCACGCTAAGCGCAACTATTTTGCACATAGAGGATTAAAAAAAAAATTCGTCTCAAATTATTGAATAAAATTCATATATATTTTTTCTGAAGAATTCTTACCCAAGAAACAAAGTAAAAACGCTTTCCACATTTTACTGACGCTCAGAATTCAATCCAATAAATTGATTCGCTGAACAAACTGTAGCCAAGATGTACGCACTGTCGATGAGAGCAGTGAAGTATCGTTTCCAACCATTAACATGGCTTTTATAGCTAGTTTTCGTGAATCGAATAATAATTTCATCATCAAATTAATGTGACGAGGCAGCAAAATTCATTGATTAGATGGCAATGATTTCAATGGCGAAACATTTGATTTTTTTCCATATCAATGTAGACTAAGCATTGTTTGGATGCAATTGCACATATTGCGAAAGGGCTTTATTTTTACACATTCACTTCGTAAATAAGTGATGATGCACGTGCATGGCAAGCAATTTAGGTTGAAACGAAACACAAATCCGATCTTTGTTCATTGAAAGATGTGCTTTGAAATTTGCTGATTTAATTATTATTTTTTTTTTTTTCAAATTGATGCAAATCTAGACAGATTTTGTGTGTGTGAGCCTGTGTATTTGCTACGCATCAACTTAGTATCAGTTTGTTAAGGCAAAATGTAATTACAAAGTCGTTGGTGTCTCAGAAAGTAGTCGTTTTAATAGTGGAATGATAACCTTTAAACTACATACCGTTAAAATAATTAGCCTTGGAATCAGTCATTCAATCAAGTGTTCGATTATTGAACCGGCACAAGCAACAAGTCAAAATCAATAAAAAAAAAACATATATAGATCAGTGTACGGAGGACGCCTGTGCTTCGATATCACCTTGTTTTGATATAGTTTTGCTGAATGAAATGCATTCAAAATCGCCAATCGTTGCTCCTTCAACATTTTTTTTTCATCAAACAAATCCAATAAGAAACACGGGTCAATTTCATTTTTTTTTTATTAATCATTTTTGTATTTCATTTTTCAATTGTTCAGTGAAATTTGTTTTAGGTTTAATATTGTGTTTGTTGTGTGAGTGAATATTGGAGTGAAGTGAGTGTTTTGCTCTGTCGTTTGAATTCGATGTGTGACCATTGTGTGTCAAATATGGAATTTATTTTTTAATGTTTTGCAAATGCATAGCAAATAATCTCATTTTTTCTCTCGATTCAATCTATAATAACTTAAATGCAAATGCAATGATTGATGGCATTTATATTGTGCCATGGCTCACAATCGAATTCACATGAAATTTTAATGAAAATGAAAATAATCGAGAGAAAAACACTCGCCACCGCCTCCAGTGAATATTCAATAGCAATAATTAATAATAATGATAATAATAATCATAATAATCATAACTAATCGTATGTACGCATTCAAAGTAATGTTTTTTTCCCTCTGCGTTTTACCTTCTCTCTTTCTATCTCTCTATCTCTTTTTCAAAGAAACAAAATCAAATTAAATTCAGAGGATTGAACGAGAACAAACACATCCACACAATACACAGAGTGTGAGCGTGCTCAGAGAATTTTTCGTTAGTTTTTTATTTCATTTTATTTCTCTTTTTTTTGGTCATATCATCTTGCCACACTTTTCACCTTAAGTCATAAACTATTTTTTTTTTAATATTTCATATTTTTCTTCCCTCATTCATTTCGTTCATTTTATGTGCCAAATTGTACGAGACACACGCAAGTACACACCCACGCATGCCGCATTTGATGCAAAAATATCTTCATCGGAAGATGGTTCTTGTAAAAATGGTGCACAAAAAAATGATTGATTTTTGTTGTTGGTTTTTTTTTTAAATCGGTTTTTAGTTCTGTACATAGGTAAATGTTTATGTCATTTTTTTTAGAATTGCGAAATCGTTTTTGCTAATATCTTTCGTTTTAAATATAAATCAAAGTAGTCCATTGGATGATTGGCCGCTGTTTGTGTATTAATTAGCATTGTCTTTAGTTTGTTTTTGTTCGCATGTTGTTCTCAGTTCAATAATGTTCCATAATGATGATGATGAAGATGATGATGATGATGATGATGATGATGATGATGTTAATCATAATAATAATAACTTCATAATAATGTTGCACAATCTTTCCTTAAATTCTAACGATTCAATGGTACATACACAATTTGTTTTTCCATCTCCCCCCATTTTTGCATGATTGTTACACGTGCTTCCATCTTTTTTGCTGTTGTGTGTTTGTTTTTTTTCTAACTTTCATCGAATGGAAATATTTCCATTTTTCTGCATTTTAAATGTATTCTAAATCAATTCATTTGAGGCTCATTTCGTCCCACATTTTTCTATGTATATATATATATTCGCATTTAAGAATTATTTTTTTTGTTTCTTTATTTTTTTTATTCTCTATCTGTAATCAACTAATATGCATCACTAAAAAAATGATCATGACATTTGTTGCACCCTTTTTTTGCTTGAACATCTATTGCTATTTTCTATATCAATGTGATTTTTGCAACGGTGGCAATCCAATTTGAACATCTAAAACCAATTTCAAATTGAAGTAAAAGCAGAACGTGTTCCTTTCGGAAAATCAAGGGGAGCATGGGAATATCTTTAGTAACGATGATGTGCATTCTTTCTGCAAATGTGTTTGTTTGTGTGTGGGTGGGGGGCTGTTTGATTTTGTTTGTTTGGCTGATTGATTGATTTTTTTCGCTTTCTCTGTCTCGGGAGTGAATAACATGAAATCACAAATCTATAATTGTCTAATATCAGCATCTAAAAAACAAAACTCATTCATTTTTTTTCAAAAAATTAAAAAAAAAGAAAAAACAGCAAATGAAAAAAGAACTCATTATTTCATCATCGTTTGTTTTTTTTTTGTTCATTTTTCTTCTCGAATGTGCTAAGGGAAATTTAATATAAAGCTTATTTTTTTATCTCAACAAATTTTTGCATTAGAAGTGGTAGTCTTCTTTTTGTTGTTACTATGTTAATCATTTCACTCGCATCTCCTGTAGAAATACAAGTAACAATTTAAATAATTCTTATTCGTCTTAATAGATAGGTACATTTTCTAGTTATAATTATTATGTGTTCATTTTTTGTTGTTGTTGTTGTCATCCTTAAACTATACAGTTTGAATTTGTTCTTTTCATTTTGTTATTGTTTAATTCAATTGGTTTTCTCAATTTTTTTTACTGCTTATTAATCAATAGATGAATTAAAAGCTTTACATCCATCAAAATGAGCGTGTGATTGCTTTGCAATGGAATTCATTCTTAAAAAAAAGTATTATTTTTTTCTTTACTTTTGTGTTCAATTCGATACGCACACGCTACTGTTATTTTGTTTGAAGATCGAACTCAATTTTTAATGATGCAAATCCTCATTGCATTCGCTTCGGCGTGAGTGTATGTGGGTTTTGAATGATCAGCTTAAAATTTGTTGTGTCACTTTTTGCCATTTCATTTGTGTGAACGTAAGTCTGTATGTGTGTATGTGTATGTGAGAGTGTTTGTCAGATGATTGATTGCTGCATATTCGAATTAATAAGCATTTCATTCTGCGGAACAATTATCTTAATGGTAAATTATATTCTTGGACTAGATTTCTTGTTTTTCACTATACAAACTGTTTACAATTGAATTGAAAATAAAAGTATTTTATACATATATATATCGGTTTACAAAATAAAAAGCGTCGGCATTATTCATTGGACTGGAATTTTTTTTATCATGGAATTCAAAAACCAAAATATAAATTAAAAATAAATAAATATTTTGTAAAAAAAAATTAAATAAATTTAAAAAAAAATGGTCATCGAGATCGTTATTTGGAATGTTGATTTGGAAAATATCGCAACAATAACATTTACAGTGATGTTGTATTTAAATCCACCAATTTCTCACTCACTCTCTCTCTCTCTCTTTCTCTCTTTCGTTCTGTGTACGCGTTGAAAGGCTAAAATAAATAATAATATAGTTTATTTGTTCTAAATTAACGAAAAAAATTTGACTAGCTCATTTTTAGTTACATACGCAAAAGCAGTTAGTGACAATTACGCTTATCTATTCCTTTCAATTCTACTTTATACACAAACCAAATCATTCATCGCTTTTTTTTACTATAACATAAAATTAAATACGTTCCCATATTGTCGATTAAACAATTCAAAAATCGAATATATCTCTTGTTTCGTTTTTTGTTACCGAACGCAAAGCGGAAAAAGTTGCATTTGCATTTGAACAAATGGATGTCTTTGATGTGATGTTTTTGTATCAAAGAATTTTCATTGATTCGAATATTTTAATTTCGACTAACTGAAAATTTTGTCAGAAATTTATTTGGTTGATCCAAAAAATAACAAGATTAACGATAAACTGAAACGTCATTGGTGAGATTAAATAAATGAAAAATGTTCTATTCGATTTTTGATTGTATTCAGCGTGTAGTTTTTCTTTCGTCGTCTCTTCTTTCCATATTTAAATTTGTTTTGTTTTGTTTTCTTTTCTTTTTCTAATTGCATTTGATATGTAAGGGCGTTTAGAGTTAGTGATTGCGAATATCAATAAAATATATTTCTAGACTTTGAAATGAATGCGCGTGAAAATCGCTGTCGAAGTAGGTTTGTTCAAGTGATTTTGTTTCATTGTAAAACGCAATCATTCGTAGAAAATATATTCGATTTATGCGATACAGAATGCAACTGAACAAAGAAAAAAGAGTTTTTTAAAAAATGCACAAAGTGTGATAAATAATGTGACGACGACGACAACGACAACGATGACAAACGATCGAATGAATGAAAAGAAAGAGAAACAATAATTAAACGAAATTTTCGTACGATGTTTGAAGGGAGAAAACGAAAAATGCTGCAACCAAAAAAAGAACACAAAAACCAAAATATTAGCTGTGTATGATGTAAATACATATAAAAGGGCGGACACCACGGCGACCGCAAGGCATATAGATTTTTTTGTTGTTGTTAGTCTCTTTCACGTCTTTTTTCACAAATTTTCTCAAAAAAAAAGTGTTTCTCTTTGTTGTTGGTTGATTCTTTCAATAGTTTTCTCTTTTCTCTCTCTCTATTTGTCACTTCTGTTCAACAAAATGTTTTCTATTCAGTTTATTATTGGATTAGATTATATAATAATTAATTAAATGTCTTGTTCCATGCTCTCAATAATAATAAATATTAATTATGATTTGTATGTTACACTCGTATTCGTTTCCGCGCGCTGCATTTTATTCTCTTTTCATTTCGGATTGTTTGCACTTCTACATCTTCATTTTAGTCGTTAGTTTTTTTTTTTTTTGGTTTGCATATGTGTGTTTGACTGTGTATGTGTGTGATTTGTTGTTGTTATTGTATCGTGATTCATTTTAATTTCAGAAAACTAACATAATGTAATTATAATCTTCTCCTTTGTGCAGCTATTATTTTTTGACTTGGGTTTTCTCCTCGTTCTCACTGTGTCCGTGTTTTTCTTTTGTTTTTTTATTTGGCATTATTTACAATTTCGTATTTCATGTTTTGCATTTGCATGTAATTCATCTGTAAGTGTATATTGTTCTATCCGGTTTTTTTTGCTCTTCGTATATGTGTGTGTTGTTGTTTTTCTTCTTGTTGTCTGTTATTGCTTTTAAAAAAATGACAAACACGCTCTATTCAAAGATAAAAACCGAAGTGAACATTCGAAAAAAAAGAATAGAACAATGTTGGCTCTGCCAGAGTATGGTAATATGTCGAGAGCGTTTTTTGTGGTATTTGCGAGCAATATCTTATTTATATTTTGGTGTGGAGGCGCGGGCGGTTCTTTGAAAAGCTTTCCTGCATTTGAGACTTAATTTTCCGTTGCCAATCAATTTCATTTCACTCTTCAATTGTGCATGCAAAGTTTCGATTGACGTATGTTCGATTGCAAATGGTTTACAATATCCGAAACCTTTCATCGTGACACCATTCCATAAATTTGATTTGAGACGTTGAATACCAGCCAATTTGAGTATTATTTTTCGTTAATTCTTTTTTGGCTTTAATTTCCGTTGTATTTCTCTCGTTCGCTTGCCGAAGATGATAGCGAATCGAATTTAAATGTTTGTGTTTCATTCTCTTTTGTCTCTTTCTCTCTCTGTATGTGTGTGTGTGTTGATTTTTGTTTGATATTTAGCACGCAACTGAAAGGTGAATAAATTTTCTTGGCATTGATGCTGTATCGTCGATTTGTCTATCTGCATGTGGTCATTTCTGCATCCGATAGTATGATGATGTGGCCGCTGATTCGTTGTCTTCATCAACGAATGCATTGTCAAACATACCACCAAATGTACGCAATACATATCTACTAATGTTTTGACTAGAACTAATTCTACTATGATTATTATTGCTATTTATTCCATTATTGTTATTATCGTCATTAAAGTGATTAATCAGCTGATTTTTATCAGCCTCATCAATGTTTCCACCGTACGAATTATTGTGATCGGTCAAATGTGTTGTGACAATTTTATTATTGTTATTGTGATTGTGGTGACGATTCAGATGCCCTTGACTAGATGCCAATACATTTGATGGCGGTTGAATTCCTGGTGTATGTCACAACATATCCTGGTCATGATCGTCTGGATCTAGATCTAAATCAGTTTCCTGGCTCAGCTCCAAATCCATTTCGTCATCATCGCACACATCCAATGAATGATCATGTGAACCTGTTGAATTTTCATTGTTTGTTTATTTTTCAGTTACAATACAAGAAATATGAAAATAAAGACGATTTTAGTCAAAATAATTTGAATTGCTTTTTTTATTACCATTTTTGCCATCATTTTCATCTTTCCATTTGTCCATCGAGCGTCGGCGAGCGTTCATGAAAAAATTTCCAACGGTTGTCGGTTCCAAACCCAATTGACGTGCAATTGTTACTTGCATCTCTTTTGACGGTCGCTTTGTTTCCTGTTCACATTGTTTGTATGTTTTTTTTTTTGGTTCAAAAAAGCAATAATTAATTAACCACATTCGATGAAATGCCATTCCAATTAAATCGTTATACATTTGCAAATTTCACAAAATGAAAAACCGCAAATCCATATTTAATATTTGGTTTATGCTATATGACATTTAATTGGTTTTCGTTCGTAGTGCATACCTTGAATATTGCCTGTAGCGTACGTCGTTGCAGATCGGTAAATACAAGTCGTGGTTTCTTCGGTGAAGACAGATGCTCGGCCACAACTGGCAAGTCCTCTTTTCGTTTGCATCCACTCAATGGAATATCTGATGAATAAAAGAAAAACGAAAAAGAACAACAAACGCATTATGAAATCGATTCAATTAAACGGTCTTTAACTAATTGATACTTCAATCAAAAATAAATGAACACAAATGTTACTTACTTCCTCGTTGTGGAATTTGAGCGGCTGCAGAAAAGAAGAAGAAAAAAAACAACAACAAACATTCAACTTTAGTATGAGAAATGGAAAATGGTGTAAGGTAACACACTTATAAATACAAAACAATTTGAGAAGTACACTGAGTTTCGATAGCATTTTATTTTTATTTTTCGGTCACTGTGCACCGGGGGTTGGAATTTCGTTATCTATTGCATGTTGATTAATTAATTTTGACTACCATGAGCACATCCATTAACTATATTTTCTGTATGTGTCCTCACAACTAAATTGTCGGAAAGAATTGAATGGATCTGCCCAAAGTGAAAGAGAGAACGAAAAAAAAACACACACAAAAATAAACAACAGCACAAAAAAAGCGGTAGTTTTATGGATGACTGGTGTTTGATGTCAGAATTGTAAAAATATAGCCACGTTGCTTTTTATTCCTCTTTCTCTCTTTTTTGCATATATATTTGGTTGGCTGCTGCTTCCGTTCAATTCTTATTGCAGCGTATGTGTGTTTGTGTTCTTTTTTATCCAACAGCTGCCAGGTGCTAAGTTTAATTTTACCCTTATACTTTGCAAACTGTAACATTAAACCCTCCATAAAAAAAACCCATATAGTTCTCTTTTGTTTTAACCATAGTGCACCAGTTCCATTTTTTCTCGTTCGGTCAACGTGTATGTGTACACTATGAAAAAAAATTGAACGGCGCGTACATAATTCAAAACTCATTCATTTTATCCGTTCATTCAATCCTCCGTCCCTAAATAGAATCATGTTTGCTTAGACATTTTTTGTTCATGCACATTGCACATTGCATACATGTTGATACAAAATGTCGAATTCAAATCACACAGAGAGAAAAAACCCAAATAGTTTTAAATGCTTTAAATGAACAAAACTACCTCACTTCGATGAAAAATTTTCGTTTTTTTTTTCTAAATTCATGTTCAATCAACATTGAACAAAATGTCAAAAGTTCAAGTGCATTTGCATCCCGCATTTCAAAAAGACCATTCATATTCACCATATCGTGCACTTACAGGTGTGAAATTTTGAATGTACACGATTTGAATTATTTGTATGTTCGGTTTTTTTTCTCTTTTGTTTCATCAAAATATTTACCTGCCATCCGTAGCGCTGACATACGTTGAAATTCAGGTTCTTGTAGCCACTTGAACATGCGTCGAAAAGTTTCGCGTCCCGATTTCAGTTTCGACCACGGTTTTGGATTACGCAATAGATCGGATAGTGTGCCTTGTGACCGGCATAATACACGTTGTGCAAATATTGCTTGCGGTATGCTGTATCTCTTCAGTTCGGCACTTATTCTCTGTGCCAACTCTTTTGTGTTGATCTCCTCCACTTCATTACTTATTGATGTGACTGTGTGCAAGACAATGTGTGCAAGACAATGACGAGAGGAAAGAAAAAAGAGAGAAAATTCAAATGTAATGGACAAAAATTAGCATTTCTCCACACGCAAATGGTGTGGCTATAAACACACACAAAAAAATAAACAATTTGCGAACGCAAAAATAAACCGAAAATCAAACATGAAAAACCCATTTACCATTTTGTTGTTGCGATGATTGCTCCTGATTTTGTGCTGGCGGTACGTTATTCGATTGGTTTGTATTGCTTGTAATCGCACTGATGGCATTGCCATTCATGGCGATTTGATGTGATTGTGATTCATTGTGTGTTTTTTCAAAAAAATCACTGCCACCGCCGCTGCTTCGATACGATCGTGTCTTTTCGAAAAATTCATCGGGTGTCTTTCGACATGAGGACGATTGATGTTGTGATTGTTGCTGTTGTTGCTGTTGCTGCTGTTGTTGTTGCTGTTGCTGCTGCTGTTGTTGTTGTTGTTGAATCGATGATTGCAAACCAATTGGCGGTGAATTAAATGATGTTATGATTGAACCACCTCCGGCACTTCCGCTCGGCGAATGTAAAGACACTGATTGGGGACTAGGACTTTGACTATGAACGTCCTATATTAAATGAAATCAAAACAATGATTTAATTTTATCATTTTTATTTTATCGAAGCGGCGGTTTTTTTTCTTCTTAAAATAATGATAGAGACATTTTGCAATCATAACAAACCTGAATTTGACGGCCACTGTTCAATAGATCACGATGATCGGTCGGATAAGCCGAATCATATTCATGTGGTGACATACTTTTTTGTGGTGAATGCAAACCATTACCATTGCCGCTGAGTGTATTTGTTGGTGATGAGTAATTGTGTGGCGGTGACAAGCCCATCGTTGGCAATTTATCGTAATATGGTGAATTAACACCCATGCATAAACTGATACCTTGGCCTTGAATCTGTGATATTCCACTTGAATGACCGTACGAAAATTTATCAGACATTGTTGAAATCGGTGGTAGCGGTTGTAGTGGTGTTAAGGTAGCATACGATGAATTTGGACTAAAGCCCGGTGGTGACATTTGCCCATTAACCGATGTTAATGTTTGATAGGTTGGCTCGTGCAATGCACGAAAATCAGATGTATCAATCATTTCAGCTGAATTTGGTGTCATTTTACCACTCGGACTTAATAATTGCGATGATGAATCATCTGGATCGTGTGAATCATCCTGAGGCTGTACAATCACCGACAACGCCTCATGTTGGTACGGTTTCAAAAGCTTCGATGATATCACACTTGAGTCGTTCAAACGATGCGAAGAATGATGCTATACGAATAACATACGAACGAGAGAGAAAAAAATGAGAGAGCAAAAACCAGATAAAAAAACAACGTTAATGAAAAGCTTTTGTTAATTTGAATTTACTGATGCAAAATGGAGATGGATGCAATGCATGAGCGAACAAAACATTCACATCTAATTTGATATATATATAAATATAACATGCATAAGGCCAATTTATAATCCGATGCAAAGATTTAATTTCTACTCACATTTTGATGATGGTGGTGGTTAATTACATCGACGCCATCATCATCGTCATGATCTAAATCATCATCGAGGTGATCTGTAAAGGTGACATGTTGAATGGAAATCGAATTATATGTTTTCAAATAATTTAAAACAAAAATGGAACTATAATCGACCCGCACATATAAGTCACATTTCGAAAAAATACTAAAGTTTGTTTTAAATTATTTAAATATTGGTGAAATCATGTTTGGTACAAAAGTTGAACTTGAAAGTCAAAATTTATCGCTTGCCGGCGATTCGAATAAAAAAGTGTTCAACTATTGAATCTCTTAAAATTGTGTCTTTCAAACTTTTCAAAATAGAAAAAAATATTTAAAAAAAACTCCAAACTCACCATCAGCCATTGCCGAAGATGATGAGCCACATCCAATCAAATCGGACGATGATAATTGATGTGCTGCTCTTTCTTGTTTGACCAATTCCAGTCCAATATCACCACGATGCATAATAATTCTAGACATTTTGTGTGTGTGTATGTGTTTACAAACTAATATCAAGCTTACAATATTTTCGGCATTTAACTAAATGCCAGACTAGTTAATTTGCCGTTGTATTTAGAATCGTTACGACTTTCATCGGGAATACAGTTCATTAAAAAAAAATCGTTTCGAAACGAGTGAAAATCGCGAGAAAAAAAGCGGCTTGATTCCTTTGCACACAAAATGCTAAACAACGCGAACGCAACACACCACCAACTAGTCTATTTATTTACACACAATGAAATTCGTTCAATGTTCAATGATTTTGAATGAAAGCAATGAAATGTTTGCGGCGCATCCAAACTGAATATCCTGATGTATTGTTTGTGTGATGTCTTTCTTCAAAACTATGGTATTTTTCTTAAAATTTTCCGAGCTAATAGAACATACTACCATTGACAGAACCGACTGGTTGCCACTTCTTTACGATACACTTCTTCTTCCCGTTTTTTATTCTTCTCTCGGTTTTCTTTTTCTTTTTTCTTTACTTCGTTCGCCAATCTCGTGTAGTCGAGTAAAACACTGACATCACCATAGAGATGTCGTGCAAAGTTTGCTGCTTTCTTGTACGGATGAAACGCACCTGTCACCACACTTGCTTAAGCTTTTCCTTTAGCTTTTACGCTCTTCAATTTTTCTTCGTTCACGTTTTTGCTACGGTCACAAGCATTAGACGGGCCAAACAATGTACATCACATTTACGATTTGAATGTTTTATTGTAGACGTTCATTCATTTTTGATATTAAAATTCACTTTGTATATTTATGCACAGCAAATGGCAAATATCATTCGTTTTATTTATTTTTGTTGTTGTTGTTGTTTGTTCATTCACTAACACAAATGCATCGAAAATATAGTATATATGAAAATTTCTTTATTATTAATCTTTTTTGTTATTTTCAGAGATTGCACTTTTGAATGGATTGCCGACTATTTGGTAACTTGCAAATTCAAGAAACTCGCACAGCTTTTGGTACTTCGCAATTCACAAAATTCCACAAGCACTTCAAATGGACAAAGATGGTCACTTCACTTTTCGAAAGTAGAAATAAAAAAAAAATCGTTTCACTTCTTTTGGTTGTTGTTGTTATTTTATAGCTGGAATGCGGAATAAAATGTACTACGTTGTCTGTTCGGCTTTCTCTATCGCTTTATGTGTTTGTGTTGTTCTTTTTGTTTTGCTTCCTACCTCGTGCAGTCGCCGTTTTGCATTTTCATGTGGGCCTAAGTCTAGTCGTGGTTTTTCATCCAAAGTAAATAAGTGTTTGTGTTCGCCATAAGAAATCCAAACATAGTGAGCATACATGTGGGCAATAATGTATTCGCACATTTTCGGTTAAACGAAAAACACCAACGAAATTCAGCGAGAGCAAACGATATAGAAAATAAATGAAAAGAGAAAAGAAATAGATGGCATTTCGATTAGTGAAAAACTTATTGTACACCATTTTTCGTTTGGTTTTTTTTATATGTATTTTTATTTTATATGTTGATGTGTGTGTGCGGTGGGTAGTTTCTTCATTTTAAGCTGTTATTCGCAGCAAATTTAATTAAGCCCATGCATGTTATGGCTACAATAAAGCACTAGCATTAAAGAATACAATCTTAATTAGGACTCTCTTTCTCTCGGTAAAATAACGACACACTCACAAGCACATTTATACACACTCGCACACTCTCGTAAATAATGAGTTGAATTAGATATGGCATAACTGTAAAACAGACACAGCATTGTCAATGGCACTAAAATACAGAATTCTTTGCATTACGATTTAAGAAGATCGCTTATGCAGTGGAAATTGCAATTAAATTAAAAGAGAATAAAAAAAACAAAAAAAAAACACTAAGGACGAGAGAAGATGAGTGCGACACACATGGCGCATTATCAAATTCTCACACATGGAGACACATGACAGTGGACCAAATGGGTATCATAACAATCTGTCGGCATCACCATTCATTCGTTAGTTAACAATTTCAACAATTTCTCTCTTTGAAACATAATTAACGCAATCGAAATATAAATGTTTTATATTTGGTTGAGTTCAAATTCGCCCTTAATTCGCGGCTTTTCCATTTTCTTTCTCCATAAACTTATTATTCCACTGTTGCAGTTAGGTAATTACTGTGTGTTGAACGAAATGCACAATTAAAGGCTCGCCATTTTAAATCAACAACAACAATCGCAATAACAACACACCGCAAATGTCGTGGAAACGTTATTCAAATTTTTGTTTCGAAATTTTAATGTATGTATTCATTTTCATCATGAGCCGATTTTAGCTGATGTTTTCTTCTTCTTCTTTCATTGTATACATTTGGCATTTTTTGGTTTTATTTTTCATATGCTGGCCCAAGACAAACACTCAACTTACTGTGTGAACGAAAAGAGAAAGAGGAAGGGAGATAAAGAGAAATGTAAGCAACATACAGCGGGTGAATATTTTGAAGCGAAAAAAATGTAATTCTACCCTTATTTCCAGTACTATATTGCATTTCCGTGGCTCAATGGAGTGACTTATATTCAAAAAGTAGAGAGCAGAGGCGCAAATCACACATGAAGTGGGAAATATTGTACCCACTCATTCGAGCGCACACACATTGACGGCGCATATAATACATATTAGTTTCGAAATGAAACACAAACGAATCCATTTGAATAATAAATATGAGCGACAGCACATTTTCGGCGGCTCATATATATGGTCTATATTACAGAACAAACAAAAACAGCAATACAGTTACTAAAAACATCAATACAGTATTACAGTAGCAATAGCATAGCATACGAGCTGCGAACATCACATATAAACGCTCTTGTTAGAACTTGAGTAAAATTCGAAAAATGCAATTGACATCATGGCGAATTGAAATGTTTTTATTTTGAAAATGGTAGTAAAGTGTTTCTCCGAAAAGCAGAGGTACACCAAACGTGCCATGATATGCTGTGTATACAATACATACACAAAGAAATATACACATACACACAAATGCACACTTGATATTCACCGAGTTAAGCGCAAAAAGGGAGATATGGAGAGAGCCAGAGAAAGACTGTAGAGCGAATATATGTGTGAATGTTGTTGGGGGGATTTGTTGAATGTGTAAGTGCGGCAAGAGACGTTTTCAACCACTTTTATTTTATCCCTTGTTTCAAGTCTCTTTAAACGTCTCTTTTTATACATATACAATTTGGGCCTTTTCACAGTGAACACTAAAGCACAATAAACATTTAACACAGGCATATATTTGGAAAATCACACATATCCATCAACAGCCAAGAGAAAACCTACTAATTTTCAGTCATAGAAAATAAAACATATAAATATGCATTGTGTCGCGTGCGCGCTATCTATCTACTGTTTTTACATGAGTGCCATATTCTGACTGTGAGGATGTGTGTGTGTGTGTGTGTGTGTGTATGCCTGTATGCGTGTTTGTGTTTGTAGATTGTGGATATTATTAAGAGAAAATGTTATATTCTATAGCAATAATGTAAATATTTTTTTCCGTGATGTATGCGCTGAGATAATCGTGTTGTTTGCAATTCGCCCGTAAAATAAAAGATTCACTGTGACAAACAACATTGTGACAATTTTTCGCTTTCGCTCATATCATTTTCGAGTGGAAGATGCGTAAAGAATGGCATACCATAGATATACAGATATGCAAGAATGTGAAAACAGGAGTAATTTTCGCTTTCATGTGCGTACCCGCTTATTTTCATTCTCTTTGTGTGGTTTTTTTCGTCCTTTCGCTATAATTTCATTCGGTTTCCACTATTTTTGGCTATGTTCCGTTTCGTTTCGTTCATTTTCCTTCCACTTTGTCATTTAGAAATGTTCGAATCCCATTTATGCGGCACAAAGAAAGGAAAACAAAATGCTAGCTACCAAACCAAACTACAAAATTACATGTGTGTTGTTTATACCCTATGCTTTGAAAATGATTTGACCACCGAAACGCGGAACAAAATAATAACAAAACCATTACAAAACGACAGACCCAAATTAAAAGAAAGGAGCGAAACAAAAACAGAAACAGCTACGGCGTTCGGTTACATGAGTTATAATTATCTTCTATTATTCACGAAACTGAGACAGGTTCTCGCACTATTTATTTCGAATGATTGAAATCATCCTCCATGTTATAACTCAAATTTGAATTCCGGTTTTAATTTTCGTGCTTTTCCTGCCATGAGATTTTGTTTGCATCGAAGACTCATTCCGTGGCAAGAATGCATGCACCCGAAGAACATTCGAATGTCGAGATTATGTCGATTATTTATTTAATCGGTTGCGATCAAACTATATGAGTTGTATGAATGTTTGGGTAGAGCTGTAATAATTGCCAAAAGATTTGTAAATTTATGACATGTGCGTTGCTATCGAAACCAAGTAAATAGACTGATTCAATTTAGATTTTTACGCCCCGCATTTATTTTTGTTTCATTCTCTTTTTAACCTCTTGAAATATTGGTTATTATATATATTTTCTCTGTGTTCTTTTTGCCGAAAATCTTCAAAAGAGGGCATTCGTGTGATTTGTTACTCGATGAAAGGCATTTGAGAGATGAATATCTGGCAAGCAATTTTAAAATTATCTCTCTCTTGGATAGTGACTAATAATCTTTTGCAGCAAAGCTCAACTAACATGCTCATAGGATGTGAAGCCAACATTCAAAAAAATGTCTGAGAAAATGTTCAGTTCAAAGTCCTAACCACTTGCAAAATTTATTACTAAGGAACAAAAAAGTGCATTTATTGTCGAGCGAGAACTAAATGGCCACTCCATTTTCTTCCATACATAGATATATGACTTTCATTATTTTTAAGTAGAAATATATATATATCTGTAATTTACAAATGATAACACTGAACTGGTATTTTCAGTTCATCCAAATCAAATTGCATGTTTGTGTTTGGCTTTGTGTTTTCTGGCGACTGATGAGTCGCAACAAGACGATATGAAAACTCTCATGGAAAAACTCGGTAGAAAAACAACCCAATAAAAAGAATTGCGCGCGTGAGATAGAAAAGCCGTGAACCAACGAAAAAAAAAACAACAACAAATTTTTGAACAGGAAAAAGCATGAAGAAAGGAATGGAAAAAGTAACATGAAATTATGAGTACTTTAAAGTTGTGTATATATAAAAGTTTAATTGCACATACATAAATAATTTTTATGTACACAAATTTGGTTTGTTGTTGTTGATAAATGTGTGTGTTTGTGTGTGGGCTATTGGTTATGGCTCGCAATGGACACACGATAACATGCGTCCATTAAATTTATGAGAAAATCTCCATTTGATGATCCACATGCAAACGAACACATACCAAACACACAATAGTTAGAATGACAGTAAATTTCTTTTTTCTTTTTAATTTTTAATGTGAATCTTCTTCATATTTAGTTTTGTTTCGAATCTTCCTTTATGGCACACTTTTCCGTTTGTTCGTTTACAAAGTAAAGCGTTCGTGAGTTCATGGAATTCATGCTAATTTACGAAAATAGGTTTCAGTCGTTCGCATAAAGTTGCTTCAGTCGCTTCTTTATTCATTTGGCATTTGTGTGTTTTTTTTTCTCATTCAAGTCATACAATAATGACTTAATACGTTTAAGGAGTGAAGTCTTTGAAGTCACATTCACACAGGCGAACGAGAAGGGAGAAAGAGAAAAATAAACATGAACTCCTCTTTGCCGGCATTTCGATTGTCATTGCGATGACGTTAAATGAATGAAACAATTTTCGTTTCTTTTTTATATAAATATGGAAAATAATGAATGCCAATAAATGAGATAAATTATGAGCGAGTATTACTTTTTTTTATATATACTTCGACAGCTCATGTAAAATTATGAAGATAGGTTTCGACAAAGTTTTTTTTTTCTTTTCAAAACTATTATTATTCATTTGAAGCATGCTCATTAAAATATGATTAAATCCAAGAGCTTTTTATTGCTACATTGAATTTCTGGTTTTGTATTTCAAGCAGAAATGTATATTAAACAATTTCCGTTTGTCTTTCGATCTAAATAAATGTTTCATCAATGTATATAAGACTTGAATGAAATCGGTTTTTCGCCGATACCGCTATTCTCTTCAGTACAAAAATAAAAGAGAAAAAGCTTATGATTTGTCAGCCAATTGATTTGATCGCAGTGTTTCGCTTTTTATGGCACTACTTAAAAAGCCAGCCAATCATTTTCACATATCATACACACAAAA